CCGTCCCCTGTGCTTTGCTAAGCTTGTTCTAAGTAGGTGCTTTAGACCACTGAGCCATCTCACCAGCCCCAAAATTTTACTTTTTATCTGAACAATTGATCCTCATATTTCTGTCCCAAGCAAACTGCAAATGCCCTGTCTAGACATAAGCACTACACATTTATCCAGGAAAAGAGTGACATACATGTGGTGGGAAAAGCTCATGGCTTTCATCTCTTGCAAAATTTCCTGGAGAATCAAAAGAATGTTTAATGTGTAGCACAGCTAAGAACCTAAGTGAAGCATGGACTAGCCAAGGAAACAACAGCCGTTTGTCTGTTACCAAGGAACGAACAAAACCTTTTAGCCTCTCATAAGACTGTCAGCTGTAGATCACGTATGGTTCATATTTGTGACTGCACAGTCCATGGTGGCCTCCAACTTGCTACAGCCTCAAGTTTGCTTTTCTTCTGCCTCACTTTCCAGAATGCTTGTATTACAGGCATGTGATAACTATAATGACTTAACAATTAATAAACATTTACTAATAGGTTTGAAACTCAGAGCTATTAACTCTATTCAGAGTAGCTTTTGTTGATGAGCCTTTACAGCATAACAAAAGATGTTCTCCTTAACCTTACAGTTAATTAAATATTATTTTTATTAATTTGAACTTATTCAATTTAATAAATCTTCCATTTTATTCAGTGATTCTTTTTTTCCATAATTGTATCAAGAAACAAATAGAAATGAGACAGTTTCAAATCAAATTGGTAGGACAGTTTCAATAATTAACACATTGTATACTGTCTCCCTAGTGGTTATTTGTTGTACAAGATGCAGACATGATATCCTATTTACAAACACCATTAGAACAAATCACTTTATTCATTGAATTAAGAGAATGTAGCTATATATCTAATCTAACTCTTTTGCATACACAGATAAAAAATGGCCATTCCTCTGTATCCCCCCTTTTTTTGGTAATTGCTATTTTTTTTTTACTCTAATTGAGGAAAGCTAGCAGGTTTATTTTTTTTTAATTTTTTAAGTATTTATTTATTTATTGTGTGTGTGTGTGTGTGTGTGTGTGTGTGTGTGTGTGGCCAGCTCAGCCCACCAGGGGGCAGGGGCTGGC